CAAACCCACCAGCCACTCCTCGGAAGGAAGGTTGGGCAATCCTACTTCCGTAGTGATACTGCCTCGGAAACCCAAGGAGGGGTCGCTATGAGTTGGGGCCAACTCGACGGCACATAACAACAACAACAACAATCTATGCCTAGCAGAAATGCAATTTTTACACATAATTTTTTTGAAATAAAAAATTTAATTCAAACCTATGTTAATGTTGCTCTACCATAATTCTTTTATTTTTCAGGTACTTGCAATCAACATCTATAATATCAGTGTGTCATGCCCACTGACTGCCAGAATTTCCATAGAGAGAGGCTAAGGCCTGCATTCTGGGATAGGTAGTTTCAAATTTCATTTGAAACTGGACTGCATGGCTAGTATACTATTCTTACTTAGATTGTATGCTTATTTGTGTTGGGTTTAGAAGACTGATGGGGATTGCATCTGAGATTGAAACCTCTCTTCCCAAACTACTATTACCAATAATGCAAATTCTTCGTTTTAAGAAAACCAAAAAAATATTAACAAAGTTAGAACTGATAGCAAAGAATGCAGTTTTTACATTGTGTATTTTATAAACAATTAAACAAAAGATATAGAATACTAAATACATGATCACTTAAATATTACAAAGATAATTATGATATAAACTAAAATCACACCTAAATTTTCCAAAAGAATTCTTATCATGATGAGTCAAACACTTGAACCATCTGGATCTAAAAACATGCTGTAATAACTCTCTCAATATTTATAAGCTAGGCAAAGTTAAGGAGGAAGAATTCTCAGGAGATGTAATGGAGATGTGAACAGATTAATTTATTCTTCTCTACTATTCTATAAAAACAAAACTGATTAGATTGGAAAGAACATTTAAAAAACGGTTTCACTGAGGTGACAAGAAGGGGCGTGATTAAAAAGTATCTAATCGTTTAAATCTTAAGAACTATTATTTGTAATTTTATCATACTGCTCACTCATGAACAAGAATTCCAAAATAGAACACAGCACTTCATACAAACTTTCAATGTTTATTAATACAATGTCATAAAACCTTCATTAAAAACTGAAAATAAAGTCATCTTTGAAACTTTTATATTATCTTACCTTATACAACTATAATGTTTAAAAGTGCTGGCAGCTTTCTGGCATTCCAGGCACAACTGAATAGCTCCTGGATAGTCTTCCTCCTTAAGATAACAACAGAAATCATTAGGCTGGAAACATTTTTCTTAAAGTCTCTGAAAAAAATCAAACCTCTGTTCATATGTGTCTTAGTTATCTAGTGCTAGTATAACAAAAAACACCACAAGTGAACTACTTTAACAAACAGAAACTTAGTTTTTCACAGTTTAAGACACTAAAACTCTGAATTCAGAGCAGTGCCCAAGGGGAAGGCTTTCTCTCTCTGTCAGCTTTGGAGGAAGGTCCTTGTTTTTTCACCTTCTGCTTCCTGGTTCCTTGGAGATCTCCATGTGTCTTGGCATTTATCTTACCCCATCTCATTCTCTACTCACTTGTTTAATCTCTTCTATATCTCAAAAAGATTGACTCAAAATACAGCATACATTAATCCTGTCTCATTAATATAACAATGACGACCCATTCCCAAATGGAGTTATAACCACAGGCACAGAGGTTAGGACTTACAACATCTGTGTTTTGGGGGACATTAATTCAATACATAACATCCCAGCCTTTGGCCCAAAAAAATTCATATCCTTTCCATACCCAATCATCCCAAAAATCTTAAGTCAACTCCAAGTCCAAAGTCTCATCTTCTGAATCATCTAAATTAAATAATGGGTGAGATTTCAGGCATATTCCATACTGGGGCAAAATTCCTCTTCATCTGTGAACCTGTGCAATCTAGAATACAAGTTGTCTGTTTCTGAAGTACAATGGTGGACAGGCACAAGGCAGACTTTCCTACAAATGGGAGAAACTGGACAGAAAGAAGAATGACAAGCACCAAGCAAGTCCAAAATCCAGCAGAACAATTTACATTCACTCCCAAGGCTTGAAAATAATCATCTGTTCTTTGGAACCATTTGGGCGATGGCCCCACTGCCCAGGCTCTTGCTTGGGTCATACTCCAAGAATCCCAGGTGGAGGTCCCTTGGTCCTGGGCTTCAGCTCTGCCTTCCAGGCCCTCTGGGATCTCTGCTCCTTCGGCTTTAGGCAGCCCCAGTCACTGGTCTGAGTGGCAACCTCAAACTCTTGGCCCCTGCAGGCCCACGCTTCTTTCCCTTGGGCATGGCAACCCCGCGTCCTCAGTTTTGGGCAGCAGTCCCATACCACTGGCACATCTTAATGGCAGCCCCATACTCCAGAACCCAGTTGGTGAAGATCTATTTGAAATCTAGGAGGCTGTAGTCTCAACCTTTGAGATCCAAGAGATGGTGGCCCACCCCTGCTAAACAGTGAAGGCTTTGCTTCCATGTTCCTTCCAACAGTTTTGCTGATCTCTGAGCTGCTCCGGGAATGGTTCTTTTCTTTGCTTGGAGGACAGCAGATGTAGCTTCTTTGGCCTATTTCTCGTCTGCAGAATTCTAAGAAGCAGACAGCATTCTCTCCTTTTGTTCTTTCTCTGTCCTTTTCAGTCAAAGCTGATGGTTTTCTGCTGTGGTAGTTGATTAGATACATCAGTCACAGGCTCAGTCTCTTCAACAAAAGACTGTACAGTCACATCGTGGTAAACATTCTGGGACACACGGCCTTAGTTTGTACAACATTTTCCCAATCTTTAAGTTCTGGTTTCATTTTGCACAGTTCATTTTTAAGTCCATCACTTGCCTCTTGCATTTTACTATAAATGGCAAGGAGAAACCATGCAGCCCCTTTAAGATCTTGTATAGAAATCTCATCAGGCAGATACCCAACTTTATTTATCATTTACAAGTTCTACCTTCCGCCAAATATTTGACCATAATTTAGACAAGTTCTTTGCCACTAATAAAAAAGCACTACATTTCCTCCACTGTCCAATCGCATGTCCATCATTTTCTTTTAAAGGCTCACCAGAAGCACATTTAACACCCACATTGCTAGCAACATTCTGCTGCTGGTACCCTAAGTCTCTAAGACAATAGAGACTTTCTCTATAACTCTGCTCACCTTCTTCTAAAGCCTTCACCAGAAGTGGCTTTGACATCTATAATTCTACCAACACTCTCTTCAAAGCAAACTAAACAAAAACAAAACCAAACTCACTACCATCGAGTCAATTCCCACTGACAGTGACCCCCACTGGATTTCCGAGGGGGTAAATCCTTATGGAAAAAGATTGCCCCATCTTCCTTCCATGGAGTGACTGATAGGTTTGAAGTACCAACCTGGTGGTTAGGAGTCAAATGCCTTAGGCACTGCACCACCAAAGCTCCCTAGGCTTCTACTATTAGGCACTTGCCATGGATTGAATTGTGTCCCCAAAACATATGTGTCAACTTGGCTAGGCTGATTCTCAATGGTTTGGTAGTTATGTAATGATGTAGTCTGGCAGTTATGGAATGATGTAATCATTCCCTATGATGTGATCTGATGTGATCAGCCAATCATTTGTAAGGGGGCTGGGGTGAGATGAAGCATCCTCACTCAAGTCACAGCCCTTATGTAAAGGGAGTTTTCCTGGAGTGTGGCCTGCATCACCTTTTATCTTACAAGAGAAAAAAGGAGAGAAAAGTGAGAGTGAGAGATAGAGAGAGGGACCTGACTATGACTCAGAAAGAAGAGCCATGAACACAGCAAGTCCTTTAGGCCCAGGGTCTCTGTACTAAGAACTTCCCAGACCCAAAGAAAGATTGATGCCAAGACACGGGGAGATCTCCAAAGAATGCCAGGCCCACAGATGCTGAAAGGAGAAAAGGACCTTCATCCAGAGTCAACAGAGAGAAAATGCCTTCCCCAAGAGCCAGTGCTCTGAATTCAGACTTCCAGCCTCCTAAACTGAGAGAATAAATTTGTTTGTCAAAGCCATTCACTTGCAGTATTTCTGTTATAGCAGCACTAGATAACCAAGACAGAATTTGTTACTAAGAGTTGGGTGCTGCTCTAACAGACACCTAAAACGTGGAAGCAATTTTGGAATTGGGTAATGGTAAGGTACCTAATAATAAAAGCCTACATTGCCTAGAAAACACTGTTGGTGGAATTAGGGACATCAAAGGCAATTCTGGTAAAGGCTCAGAAGAAAAGAGAAGAGTTGTAACACCAGAGATAGTGCAGATGGTGAGAAGCAGTGGCAGGAGACCAGCGCAATACAGTGCAAGAGCCAACCCAAGGAGCAAGAGCACTGAATGTTTCCTTCCAGAGTGGGGTGCCCCTGGGACTTGTCAATGGGGCTAGGCTTGAAGATCAACAGAGCAAAAAAGGTAAGCACCTTCAGTCCAACACTTACTGGTGGATTGGGGTCCCTCCAGGCACTTATCAGTAGAGCTAGAGAGCTTTGTAACACCTGCTTGAGCAGTGCAAAGGCCCGGCCAGCCCAAGAGGCAAAAGGCCAAGGAACTAGGAAGCAGAAGATGAAGAAACTAGGAGGAGAGAAAGTAGAGCTGCCTTGGTCTCAAAAGGTAGGGCCACAACATCTGGGGTCTCAGAGGGTGGGGCCACAGCCTCCTCTAGGTTTCAACGAGTCAGATCTTCAACAACTAAATTCTGGAGTGTGGGGCTATCATTCACAAGTGCTAGGGAGACGGGGCTGGATTTGCTGCCTGGTGCTGAGGGGATAGGGCTGCCATGCTCAAGGAGCAGCCAAGGGAGCAGAGTTGCCACTCTAGTAGTCCTGAAGGCAGCAAGGGGTCTCCACCTGTGGTGTAGTAAATTATATGATATTTTCTTTGTAACTCCCACTTTGCCGTAAGTAACTGAGTAGCTGCTTGTTAAAGCCATCCACCTGGAGCAACACAAAGTAATCTTCTGGGAAGTTCACTCTCTCTCAGTGTGTGAATTCTGATGTTGTGATTGGTTGTTGTTGTTGGCCACTCTGCCAGGCTCAAAAGGAGCCCTCCTAGAGGCAGGAGGAGTCTCTCTGACTGCTGGCTGAGAAAGACATGCTGCTGAGAGATAGACACATGAGATACACACACTGCTGACAGAGAGAAGTGCTACTGAGAGAAACTGAGGGAGACTGAGAGAGACTGCCAGTTGAGAGACGGCTGGCTGAGAGAGACTGAGTGTGTTCCTGAGCTTGAAATGTGGTCTGTTGCTTCCCTAATAAACCCCATAATCTGAGTTCTGTGTGGCCACTGCAGTGAATTACTGAAGCCAGCAGAGAGGTGGTGAGTGCTGTGGGAGGAATGGCTGGTGTCAAGGTTAGTAAGAGGGCTGGAAGGTGGTGGCATGTCTGGCCTCAAGAAGCAGGCATTGTGCTTCTGCTGCTGATGATTCTGTCCTCCTCTTGTGTAGTTAGAGGAAGTCAGAAGATGCCGCCCAGATCCCTGTCCCTTTTGCACCACCTAAAATCTGTAGAGCATGGCCAACATCCAGAGTGGAAGACAGGGTCATTGCCCAGATGATCTCAGAGAAATTGTTCTGCTGGGTTTTGAAGTTGCTTGATGCCTGTTATCCCTCCTTTCTCTTCGATTTCTCCCATTTATAAATGTCTACCAAGTTCCACCACTGTACTTTGGAAGCAGAAAACTCGTAGTCTAGATTTCACAGGTTCTCAGAAGAGGAATTTTGTCCCATGATGGATTTAGAGTTGGGGTCGATTTAAGACTTTTGGGATGATATAATGGGATGAAAGTATTCTGCACGTGGAGAAGACATGAATTTTGTGGGCCAACAGGTGGAATGTCCTGAATTGAATTGTGTCCCTAAAAAAAACGTGTCAACTTGGCTAGGTTACAATTCTCAGTGGTTTGGCAGTTAAGTTGTTGTTACTTTGTTAGGTGCCATCGAGTTGTCTCCGACTCATAGCGGCCTTACGTACAACAGAAGGAAACAAGGCCCCGTCCTGTGCCAGTCTCACGATCCCTGCTATACCTGAGCCCATCGTTGCAGCCACTGTGTCAATCCATCGTGTGGAAGGCCTTCCCCTTTTTTGTTGACCCTCCACTTTACCAACCATGATATCCTTCTCCAGAGAACAGTCCCTTCTGACAACATGACCAAAGTAGGTGAGACAAAATCTGGCCATTCTCACTTCCAAGGAGCATTCTGGCTATACTTCCACGAGGACAAATCTGTTAGT